TGATTTATGATCCCAGACTGGAAGTGGAGTCGTGACGTTGTCGGATATTTTGGCGTAGCTCAAGTAGGTCTGGGAACATTTACAGCTGGCTTCAGAAATGTGAAAATGGACGCTGCGTTCCATCCGACCAAAGTCAATATTTCCACACAGTGAAAACACAACAACAATGACCTCATTATTTTAAAAACATGCATCTACGGCTTTTAACTGCAGACACAGATACAGTGATTGCGTGAAATAGTAGAATAGAATATTCTTTATTGTAATTTGAAAATACAGATTAGGCTGCAATAATTTACAGTCACAGAGAAAGTATTTAGGTCCCTAAGTTTGGTAAAAGTGGTAATAACTGTAAAAATAATCCTCTGTTATTTAAGTAAAAGTGTTATTAGCTAAATGTATTGAAACTATCAAGAGTAAAATCTCAAAATACGCACCCTGTCAGTGTTATTATTGACGCACAAATTGTGTATATTTTGATGTTAGTAGAGATCTTTTGAACTATTTTATATACTGTTGGGAAGTTTAATCTTTTATGACGCATATTTTATAAGCTCATCATGAAAAATGTTAAAAGAAGCTTTTTAAGTCCTTCACGTGAGTGTTATTGGATCATTATTACTGATGCATTAATGTGTAAGAAGCATTTTAATGTTGAGGCTGGTTGAGATACAGCTAATTTGAACTGATTTATATTTTTAGTATTTAAAGCAGCAATAAGGAGATTTTATTTTTTTATGGAAAAAAGCCTCGTTCAATTGATTTCAAGAAGAGTCTGTTCAAATCTGACTGGTGGCTCACCTGGTACAGCCCTTTCCTGTCTATCTTGAGCTGTCCTATCAAATAAAGGCAAAAAATATATCTTAAAAAAGAAATAGCCAATCTTCTTGCTGATGGTCTTCTTTGTTATGTAGACGTTTTCTCAGTGACCAGTTAAAAACTTATTGTACAGGTCTGAACAAATAATCTGACACGCATGCGTAAACAGATACATAATTAAATGCGTGATATCAACAATACAAAATTATAAGTCTTTATCTTTAATTACATTCCCCCAGTGCTACTTACTATTTTAGTTATAGAGTGGAAAGTTAGACAAAAGGGTAATTGATCCAACCATTTATATGTGATAATTTCATTTATAATAACCATTTTTTATAATTAGACTCAATTCTCTGCTGTTCAGCGAGCAAATTCATTACTTCAAGTTTCATCGTCACTTTGGGTTTTCCAGTTTATAAAAGAAACCAGTTACAGAGAGATAAAGTGAACTTACAGCAGCACTTAAACAGGAACTACAGTCATATTACTGACATCTTTTTTTCTTCTTCAGGTTAATAATAAAAATCCTAAACTTGATCCATACAAGAAAAACAAATAAACAGCTGTGGTCTGCTGCAGAGATGATTCATAGTGGCGGGATTTCAACAGCGTGCAAGTTCTCATGTTGACATTGAAACAGAGACACGTGGACTCAAGTTCAGCGGTGCACGTTCTCTGCTCATGCTGCTGATCAAATATAGATCTAAAACTGGATGACATCTGAGTCCCTGCAGACAGTCATGAACCCGTTACCTGTAAAGACAAACATACACAATTATACAACAATGCACTTTTCTGCTAATACTGAGAATCAGATGTGTTTTTCCTCTCTTATCGGTGCAGTTTGAACTTGTATGTTGTGTGGGGGTTGGACTCTTTGCCAGCACTGACTCATGGGCCAGATGCCTTTGCCCCAGATTCCCTATATATCCTTGAGCCAATTGGTGTGCAGGAGCGCTCTGTGGGGCCGTGTCAACATTTTCCACTCAATATAAGCAATGACAGCGGATATGGTTTAAAAAAAACTTCTGCCCAAGAATACTTTCCTTGAGCAACACACAGAAATATGATTCCAGGTAAATTTATATTCAACTCCATATTATGAAAACCAATCAAACTTATTTTCCCATTGCATTTATTCAGAGCTGAAAGTAGTGTCTTCAGATGTCTTGTTTACATCTGAACAACAGTAAAAACCTCAAATATATTTGGTTACTATCGTGTTTGACAGATAACAGGATCAAATTATCACATTTCAGAAGCTGGAGCCAGGAACTGAAATAGTCACTAATCGATCAACTAACTGATTAATCGACTAATCATTTCAGCGTTATTATCATCCCCATTAACTTCATCAAAACAGATTACACCAATCACACAAAAGACAACATAAAATCCCAATAAAACACCCCCAAAACACCAACTAAGAACACACAAAACCAGACAATCTGAAAGACAAAATAATAAATAAACAAACAACAATAGCCACCAAAAAATATACTATAATTAAGTAAGTCGTAACATTATTAACACGTATGAGACTTTATTATAATATCTATATTATATATCAATCTAAATGTTTAAGATGAAAATATGAATGAAAACATACTATTTATGCCCTAAATGTTACACATTGGACCTTAAAAAGAGTTAGCATTACACTCAATGGAAAGTTGGGGGAGGTAACTGTAATATTATTACAGAATTTTAAAGGGAGAAAGACAGATGATATTATAGATAATATTGTTGAATCATCAGCATACATACAATATTGTGTGTTGTAGAAGATTAACAGTAAATGATTTGTAAAAATAGCAATTAATAATGGTCCTAGACAGCTCCCTTGAGGTACACCACAACTAGTATATTCTATATTTTAATGATCCATCCAAGAGCCATAGTCATAACATTTCAACTGTAACATATCGGTTTCTTCTTCTTTCTTATTTGTATAGCACCAAATCATTACAGAAGTTATCTCAAGACACTTTTAATATGTACACCGAACTCCTTATAAAAGTATTTACAGAGACAAACCAATTCCGACCAATCAAATTCAGCAATAAAATCAAGTACAGTTAAAGAGCGGTTATTGTTAAAATCCTTCCCTGTAGTGGCTCATAAAATCTCAAATAAAACAAACTTGTCAAGTATTTGCAACTGTATAATTTCTGCTCCTTTCTGCAGCCTTCCACGCTCAATCTCCACTCATCTGTTTGTTTGTTTATTTCCCTCTGTCTAGTGCTTTGTTTATCGTTGCAACTGTATTGTTTTCACATAAATATTCTGGGTATTTGCCCTTTGCTGTGTCCTTTAAACTTTGTACAGAGTGACCTGGAGCGCCCTCTGGAATAAGAAAAAAAGGACGTGTGTGACAGGGAAACTCCTGTGTCACTTCACTGACACTGGAGTCGGCGTTTGTGCGTGACAGGGATAACAGGACATTTTTAGACCCTGCTATGATACGCAGCCACGAATAGATTCAGCTTTGTAGGGCGAGTAGGACAGTTTTAAAACGAGTTAGCCTACCTGACATTTTGGAAACGTGAATCTTGCTTTGGTTGTTTAATATTTGTCCCAGTATGTTGCTCCAAATGCTCCACATACAGTACTGGAGCTGTTTGACTTTCCTGTTTGAACAGAAAGATTAACAGAACTGGACTGTAACCAGACTGAGTTCAGTCTATTCTTAGTAGTCAGGGCGCACATTGCAAAATGTTCCCTATTGATTTCACAGAAAAGTCCATTCAGAGAACCACCAGTGCATTTATTGATTAGTTAACAGTAATTAAAATAGATTTATGACCTAGCTTGGAAAATCTGGAGCATTTGAATAACGACACGCACACAAAGACTGCAGGGAAGTAATAAACGCTTTCTCCTTGTGGCATTTGTAACATGAACAGACTGAATCTTTTACAACAGTGAGCTACAGCAAACTGCATGGAGAGCTGCTCGGGTTTCTGTGGTGCTCTCATAGTAACAGTTATAGAAACGTGGCTACGTGTTTCAGGCCTTCGTCAGGGCATATACAAAATGGTTGCCTTTGGGCTATTTCTTATACCGGTTGGCAAATGTGTTCAGCAGAGGAAACCATTCATCAAAAATTCCACTAAATGTCAGGATGAAACAGAAATAGACAACAAAAAACTATATACAAAACATCTTAAAACCTCTTAATATTTCACTTTTCAGTACATCCAGGTAAGAAGGTACATTACTTCTCTCATTTTCTGTAACAGTCCCATCATGTTTTCTGTGTTTTTAGGCATCTGAGTCTTCTTACCTGGATGTAGAGAAAGGTTAAATGTTATGTATATAGTTCTCTATTTGTTTATTTCTGTTTTATCCTGACATTTAGTGGGATTTCTGATGTGTGGTTTCCTCTACTGAACATATGACTCTACCTGTCTACACTGATCATGTGACTATTTACCACAACAGGTATAAGAAACAGCTCAAAGGCGACCATTTTGTATTTGCCTCGATGAAGGCCTGAAGATAGAATAAATAAGATATTAAAGACTTTTTAAATCACTACCCTCTTTGTTCCAAACTAGTAGTATCCTCAAACTGAAGAACACCAGAGGGACACCAAGCAGCACTCCATGTGGCTAATGCTAAAGTGTTAGATTGGATAGCAGCAAGTGGACTACTGTATTTATATGCAGTCGTTATAGGACGTGACTTATAAGGGCGTGTGACAAACTCTGCAGCAGGTCTGTGAACTGGTAACTGACCAGTGATCTGCTTTGCAATGTTTTGCATATACATGCTAGGCTCAGCTAGCTTTGGCCGGTGTTTCCTAATTAGTTTATACATTAGTAGAATCCAAAAAATATGAGCACAACGTATGTGTTTAATTGTCCTGACCTCTACTTTTCCAGGAGCTGTTGACCCACATTTTGGGCTCAGGTGAGGCGAGGCATGATGTAAGCTGAATTAATCGTTGCTAATCATATCAAAGCTAAACAGATTATGTCTGTGTGGTAAGTAGGCTGCATGTGTTCGCTCACAGAGTTAGAAAACAACTGCTGAAGAGAGCGGTGGCAAATAGTACTGAAGATTTGAGGTGTTTTTTTTTAAAGCACATAACAGATAATGTTTTATGAGGCTATGTTTCTTTTGCCAAACCAGTCTAATAACAGCTGTGTGGGATCAATAAAACACAATATAAGTAATGACTGCAAGCATTGTATTTATTATTAACAGTGTCAAGTCACAAAAAAGGACAAAATGAAAAAACTTTTTACATACTTTTTTTTGTTTTTAAGCTTTTGGTCATAATAAAAATAAACTATACAGAGGCAAAATATGAAAAGCAAGCTCCAGTGGCTAAAGAGCAAACGCCATCATCATCACCGCCATCATCTCCATCTCTCTACAATGAGACAGCAAGCTGAGGGTGACTGTGAGGCCTGTGGGGGGGGGGAATAGAGCCTAGGAGGAAGTCGGTGGAGGGCTGGTTGCTTCCAACTTTCCGTTTTCACTGCTTTCGCTGATTTGTCTTTTCAAAACCATTTCCCTGGCGATGCAGGTCACCTGACCGTTGGTCACTGTGTACGTTCCGTTTCTGCAACACAAAAAAAAAGTTTATATTATAACTTCAGTTAAGACAGTTAAGACATATACATAAACATTGCCCCACATTATGTATAGAAAAACTTGAGTATTTAATTATTTATAAGTATAACAGACACAGATACAGACAATAGATGAAGAATGAAAGTGGGAGGGATCCAATGTATAAGCAAGGAATGTTAGTCTAGAGTCACTTTAGTGTGATTATGTTCACTTAACACTCACTTTTGATTTTCAGATCCGTTCTGCATGCCGGGCTGGTTCGGTTTTGCAAAAAAAAACGAAGTCCACCAGTGGCCAGAATCTTGCCTTGGAAGTCCTGCAAAGAACAGATTGAATGTTAGACGGAAAACTCGGTTTGATGGAGGGGAAGACTTTACTTTCTTAGTCTCAAAGGTTCAGTGTGAAACATTTAGGAGGATCTAGTGACAGAAATTTAATATAATGTTCATAGGTGTGTTTTCATTAGTGTGTAATCACCTGAATATAGGAAAAGTAGAGTTTTTGTTATCTTAAAATAAGATTTTATTGAGCCATGTTGAACCACCATGTTTCTACAGTAGCCCAGAATGGACAAAAGACTCGCTCTACATAGGAGCAGCCACCGTAGTTTCAATCTGCAACTACACCACTAGACGCCACTAAATCGTACACACTGGACCTTAAATACAACTTCTTTTTTAAATACCTGGGTGGTGTGGAATGACCTCCCCTGTGTACTCTGCACTACCACAAGAGCTGTTGCTGGAGGCGGACCCGAGGCGCCCTGGAATAAAGATATAAAGACATAAATATACAAAAAACCTCAAGAATATCACATCAAATACTCAAAATAGACTTCTGGCATCAGAAAACAAAAATGCATATAGTCGGACTCACTTCTGTAGTAGTCGTGGGTGGCGATGAGGGAGCCACTTGATGGAATTGCTGCCATTTTCTCCCGACCTTAGGTGGAAAAACCGCTCAGAAAGATGGAAAATGGTAACCTGGAGGAGAGACGGGAGGCAGAGGGGTTACTGGGACTGAACTTAAAATGACAAAATCATCTGTGTGTAGACAGATACTCCTCAGACGACATGTAACTGCCACTCAAAAGCAGTTGCAGGGAAGCTTTTGCTGCGTGCATTCATTCCCTCTGAGCTACATTCCTGTCAACAGGCCCTGTGATGAAGTACGAGCAGCTGCTTCTAAGAATCTGGTTTCCTGTAACTCAAATAACTAGTATGTGTGTGTGGAAGAGAGGAGAGAGGATGTCCACATGTACAACTCAACTCAGATAGCTTATAGTGCACGAGCTGGCTGCGTGATCACAGAAGTGACCTGGCAAAAAAAAGATTATGTTCTTGCCAAACAGGAGATATTTGTATAGGTCAGACAGACGTCCAAGCTGCTCCTGTGTTAGGAAATTATAGACTTCTCCATCCAAAAAAGGCAAAAAATTATCTCTTTTTTTTTGTGAGAACATCTGCAAGAATAAAACATGTATGGAATTTCTTATTTTAATGTGTGTTTTCGGTTGTATTTCAGACTCTTAATGTAGATTTAAGTTTGTCGCCTGCAGCAGCCTGAGAACCGGTTCGAAGCTGTAAAGATTAAGACCAGGTGAGCAGCAGGTGGATTTGGGGATTTCAAGCAGCAGACAGATAAACAACAGCAGCGGACGCATAAACACTTATAGCGGAATGCGGTTTTAACTAGTGTTTACTAGTTTGTGTGCTTATGAAATGCTTATTTTTAGGGGAAATGACACCTGTAGATACAACAAGGCAGGTATCTCCACTACACAACAGCACATTCCAGCACACTTGTGCAATAACTAAGACTAAGTGTGGCTTTAATAACTTTAAAAAGTTAAATTATTTCACTAAACTGAAGATTAACAACCACAAACAGCATCATGATCTTATTTCCTGCTGTAGTTCTTCTTGCTTTTATTATTTTACAATGCCTAAGTATAGCACAGACATGTTTTATCAAACTATTACTTTAAAAACCTACAAGAAGAGAACTTTTAATGCAATTAAAACTTTCAATTATTTCACTTTCTTTAACGCGCTAAGTGTAGCAAGGAATGTCTTATCAAAGTATTACTTTTAAAAACCTACCAAGAAGAGAAACTTTTAATTGCTATAAAACTTTAATTATTTCACTTTTTAACGCCTAAGGAAGCACAGACATGTCTTATCAAAGTATTACTTTAAAAACCTACAAGAAGAGAACTTTTAATTGCTATAAAACTTTAATTATTTCACTTTTTTAATGGGCCTAAAGTGTAGCACACACACGTTTTCCGCAAACTCTACCTTTAAAGTAACAAATTAAACAAACAAATAAGCCTACAAGAGAACGCACTTTTAATGCTATTAATAAATAGACCCTACCTGTGAGGATTAGGATGCGGTTGTTAAGGTGCGGGATGGCTGGAAGTGGAAGAGGTGCTGGTGCTAGTTGTTACAATGGCCCATTTGTGGATGAAACTGTCTTCTACTGACCGCTCTTGGTCAACTCGCTGGCCTGCAGTCGTCTGGAGGAAGGGAGCGGCTCTTTATAGGGCTGTCCCCCCCCCCCATCTACTCCTCACCGGCTCGTCTGCCGTGCACGGGCGGGGGACTGAGCGTCTCGAGGACTCGGACGTGCTGTTGTTCACTTCGGTCAGGGACAACAGACTCGGTGACGCGAGACAAGAGGACTTTTACGTAAACCCGCTCCGGGGAAGAGATGTTTAAAATGTTAAAGGGACAATTTATAAATCAGGAACATTCATCAATAATTTCCTGTAAAAGTAACGTTAAGTGGCTTCAATTTGTTTTAGTTTAAATTGTAGTTAATAAGATTTTAAGAAATCTTGAACAGTTACTGAGAAGCCAGCTTTCCCTGGTGTCTAGTGGTTAGGATTCGGCGCTTCTCACCGCCGCGGCCCGGGTTTCGATTCCGGTCAGGAACGACTCTTTTATTCCTTTGAAGCCGGCTGACTTACGTCTAACTCGCTTTTTCATTAGTCTTTCTCACGACCTGTGTCACGACATTGGCATTCATTATATATCATTAAATGTCTGCCACTGCATTAAATGTTTGGTGTAAGTGATTACAGTCAGATGTCAGAAATGTTATGTTATATATGTTTATGTTATTTTGTATATTATATTTTTATGAAGTATTTAAATGTTGCTATACTAATATTGGCACATATTTTTGTTGTATATGTGTGTACATATATGTTTCTCATTATGTTGTAATATATATTCAAAGTCAAAGGTTCTAGAGAAAGAACACAACAGCTGGGACAAACCACACCACTTCACACAATTGACAGAAGCAATTCTATTATTACTGTGTTGCTTATAAAATGTATGGTGGGTTTTACAGAGAACAACATATTTAAATATAAATATTTATTAATATTTAAGAAAAGTGACACCTTGTAGATACCAATATGCTGAAATGAATCACAGCTTAATCACAGGTGAAGCATAAATTGTTTATGGTGATCGTATCAGCTTTTGTGACTCTCCAGACACAAGTGTTTGTATTGTATATATATAGGTTGTGACTACAAAGAGAGAATATTATCATATACCATTGTTAAGAAATATCATTCTTTAATATTAATTGCTTGTATACATAATAACAACTTGAACGATTCGTCTATGCTGATTCGTGTTTTGTGTCCCACACTAACAGCTATCTCGCTTCTCTTCAGCTCCTCGTTGTGTTTCAGTGTTCTTATCTCTTGTGTATGTCGAATCCACAATGCATGTCTTTTTTAATCTGTCTAATCAAGAATCTACTTTATATTGTTATTTGATATCTTATAATGTTTATTGTCACTATATTTCGTTGACATCATGCCTGCTCCCGAGCCCATATGTGGAATTGGAGATCAGATAAAGAACTGCGGAAAATATGTAACAAGTCTGAATGTTGGTTTTAGTTTAGTACAATAGACACACTTGCAATTAGTTTCCATAAGTCAAGACCAATTCAAACACAAACACTGTACGTTTTGAATATTTGATAAGTCATCTTTATATGTCTGCGAGATTTCTACTACCCTCGGAGGCATAAACATATATTAATGAGCGAAAGACCACGACCATCGATTAGCATGAGGAGCCAACCTAGACAATGTATCTGCGCGAAATTGAACAATTGACATAAAAGTGTGTAGATCTCAACTGAGACACAGAAGTTCCTCAAGTTCCTAGGATGCTAGCTGATCCATGTAGTATGAAAAATCCACAACTCCCATGATCAACCGATTCACTGCAACCTTGACTTTTAATTGAAAATTTTTGATAATAGAAATAGCAATAATAAATACTATCGTATTAGTGTGAACTTGCTGCTTTCCCTGATACTTCCGTAAATGTCTATCAGCATTTGTAACAATGTGAACGATAATGCCATTGATTGGAGGTAGCTTACTGGTATAAGTCACTGTCCAGTTCTCTGGCGCTCAACGAAAGGGTCAAAATAATTTGGAACATAAGAGTAGGTCCAGTTAATATAAAAGTCTTATTTACATAATTGATATCTCTATATATCCATTGTAGTACAGGACACCTCATCGATAATTATTCACATGGACTCTAAAATATACACTATTTTTACACTGCATATGCTTAGGTCAGCTTCTGAGCTGTTAATTATACTACTTGTTGGATATTGAGATATAGTCACCATGATCCAGTGTAGACAAGGTAGATCGCTAGTTGTTTCCCGATGTAGAGGACCCAGATACTCAGAACAAACATATTCATATATCCGGATGGTAATGAAAAATAACTTAAATCATGTGTGAGATAGGAATAGGTCCACCCTCATGTGCTTGTAGGGCGTGATCTTCTCTTCCCTTTATCACTCCACAAAGTGGGTAATCCAGCTTCTAGAATGGCTAGCATGACACGAGAAAACTCTGATGGGATGTTAAGAATGAGGGTAATCGCTAGATTACCCTTGTCGATTCCTGACGAAGGAAATCAATGTTCGGAATTCAAGATAAATCTCAGACATCATCTCACAAAGGATAACAATGATCATCTCCCTGCTCACTACATCATCTGCTGTTCTAACTATAATTACGTTCCTACCTTTTTGTCATCTACCTGTTTCTGTCTGGACCATAACTCTTACAAAAGACTTGAATGTGGAGGAATGTTCTGCGGGAGATATTGGTGGAATTTTGTTGAATTGGATTTCTTTCCTGTGAATATCTT